GCCTTCGCACGCTGCTTGCATAGTGCGCGAGCGGGAAGGGGGCAGTGCGCATGCGCGCCGCGGGAGAGGTGCGACTGGCAGCCTTTAAAGTAGGGAGGTTGCGGGTCCCTCCCGCGCCACTTCTCCCCTCAGCCGGGCGCGCGGGGTGGGGCGGGGCGGGGGTCCCGCGCCCCGCTGGGCTGAGGGGCTGCAGGCTTCGAGCCTCTTCTGCTTCTCACGTCTGACCAAAAAAAAGGCGTAGCCCTTCCTCAATTTTTCTCCCGTCCTAATGCCCCCCCGACATTAAAGGGACGGGCGTAAGGAAGAGTTGGGCTAGAAATGGGCAAAATATGGCCCACGGGCCGCATGCAGCCAGCGCGCCTAGGTCTTGCATATGAAATTATCATATTGGAAGCCCGAAAGGGTCGGATTTGCTGAAAAACTATGCAAATACATATGCAAATAAGTTAAGTTGTCCTCTTCACTTTATATTGTTCGCTGTAACATGCCGATGAGGGAGTTATTGAGAACTGGATCAAAGTTGAAGCTTTATTTTGAGGTGAGCCGTCATAAGAAAGCACTGACAGCAAACCTCAAAGTCAGGTGAGACTCCCTGAGAGTGACTTGAGTTTTGCACAGGCTACATGGACACGCTGCCTTGAAAATAATAGTACATTTTACTGGGTCAGTTTCACTGACAACCCTCTACACTTTTAGCTTCTCTCACTCCTTGGAGCCTCAGCCCAGCAGAGACTCCCTGTGCCTGATGAAGGGCAACTGTGCCTGAAAGCTTGCTAAGACCTTTTTTCCAACTATTCAGTTGATCTAACAAAAGATACTGAGGGGCTGCAGGCTTCGAGCCTCTTCTGCTTCTCACGTCTGACCAAAAAAAAGGCGTAGCCCTTCCTCAATTTTTCTCCCGTCCTAATGCCCCCCCGACATTAAAGGGACGGGCGTAAGGAAGAGTTGGGCTAGAAATGGGCAAAATATGGCCCACGGGCCGCATGCAGCCAGCGCGCCTAGGTCTTGCATATGAAATTATCATATTGGAAGCCCGAAAGGGTCGGATTTGCTGAAAAACTATGCAAATACATATGCAAATAAGTTAAGTTGTCCTCTTCACTTTATATTGTTCGCTGTAACATGCCGATGAGGGAGTTATTGAGAACTGGATCAAAGTTGAAGCTTTATTTTGAGGTGAGCCGTCATAAGAAAGCACTGACAGCAAACCTCAAAGTCAGGTGAGACTCCCTGAGAGTGACTTGAGTTTTGCACAGGCTACATGGACACGCTGCCTTGAAAATAATAGTACATTTTACTGGGTCAGTTTCACTGACAACCCTCTACACTTTTAGCTTCTCTCACTCCTTGGAGCCTCAGCCCAGCAGAGACTCCCTGTGCCTGATGAAGGGCAACTGTGCCTGAAAGCTTGCTAAGACCTTTTTTCCAACTATTCAGTTGATCTAACAAAAGATATCACATCTACCCAAAGAGCCTTGCCTGCCCAGTACATGTTGAACACTTAGTATTCTTGATTGTACATTGTACAAGAGCTGAAATCATCATACAGATATAATTATCATACGCCTGGCCACATTGCTGCCAACTGATTGGATTCGGCCCGTGGTGCTCTTCATGGGGCTGAGCCCACCCATGCCCATCCAGGGCGGTCCACGCCATGCTCCCACCCACACCCATTAAGGCACAGTCCTAGCCAGCATGCACAGCTTCCTGGTGGGGCTGTTCCCAATGCTGCTGCTGCAGCTGCCTATATACTGCTGAGCTCCCACTGCCTCCAACAGCTCCTCCTCCTGTCCCTGCTGTGCTGCTCTGGGCAGTAGGTAGCATGGGGAAGCTGTGGGGACATGCCAGGCACCACATGCCCAGCTAGGAGTGGAGAAAGCTGCAGCCAGGCAGCTCCTGCCTCAGCATGCAGGGGCTCCAGCTCTAGTTCCTGGCCCCCTTCCACCTGCTCTGCCCACCCAGTGCAATGAGCAGCCACCTGCAGGCAGCTGAACACATGGAAGGTGGCTGGGAGCTGGAGCCCTGCTTGCTGTGGCAGGAGCCACCCAGCTGCAGCCTCCCCCATGCCTGGAGTGGCACAGCAAGCACAGAAGGAGGAGCTGCTGGAGGCAGGGGGAGCCAAGCAGTACCCAGGCAGCTCCAGGAACAGCCCTACTAACAACCTGTGCACTGGCCAGGGCTGGGCAGTGCCATTGATGGGTGTGAGCAGGAGTGTAGAGCAGGTGGTGCTCAGCCCCATGTGGAGTACCATGAGGGCAGCCATGGGCTGGATGAGAGAGCGGGGGGAAAACACACCTGCATCACTAGGGGCAGGCAAAATAAGGCCAGATCTGGCCTGCCACACACTTCCATCTAACCCACAGCATCCACCAATTAATTTTACCCCACCCAGCCCTTCCACCCATGTGGGTGGGAGTGAGGAACCCATGTATACACCCCCCCAAAATACCCTATTGCTACTCGCTCCTACCCTCAAGGGTGGAAGGGCCGGGCCAACACACAGCTTCCAGGCAGGGCTGCTGCTGCTGCCGCAGCTGCTGCGGCCACTAGGAACCTGCTCGGCTTCCCAGGCATCCTGCTTGCTCCAGGCACCAGGTAGGGAAGTGGCGGGGATGAAGGCAAAGCTGTAGCTAGGCAGGAGTGTGGGGCTGGAGCTGGCGGCAGCGTGAAGCCTGCACCCAGAGAGGCCTGCAGCACAGAGCTTGGGGTGGGCAGCATGTAGGAGTGAGGGAGGGTAGGGGGTAGGGGGACCCCCCCATGTTTCACTCATGGTACACAGGCCCAGCAGGCAGCAGCAGCAGCAGGCAGGGGCGTGTGTGCCCGGCACAGGGACTGGTGCCCAGCAGCATGTGGTTCTAGCCAGCACTACACATCATGGTGAGGAGCACAACCCCTGCCGGGCCATCTCTATCACCAGTGTTTCCCACCACACATATACAGCCTGACACAGGAAGGAACCCCCACTCCTTATGAGGCTTCCCTCCTGTGCTGTACAACTGTGAGGCCTGCAGGTGCACGATGGGAAGCACCAGCGATAGAGACAGCCTGGTGCGGACTGCGCCACTCACCGCAATGTGCAGTGCTGGCTGGAGCCACGGGCCGCCACGCATCAGCACCTCCACCAGGCACAGGAGCCCCGAGCGCCCCTGCCTGCTGCTGCACCATGGCAGGAGTGTAGGGTGGGAATCCCCATGTCCCACCACCTTTCCTCACACCCCACAAATGCCACTCACCCACCCACACCCTGCCCCCACACCTTCCCACATATACACACCCTCAACATACCCTATAGCCCCACACACAGCCACACCCACACAACTTCCCCACACACCCCCTCACACCCCACCATACACACACACCCCAACCACATCCCCAACCCCACACATACCCCAACCACACCTCCCACACACAATATCCAAGACTAAGAATGTATTTTTTAGTTATTATGCAATCCTCTCTATAGTACACAAACCCAAATCATGACAAAAGTATTTCTTGTAATAAAATTCGTATATATTATAGTAGGTGTTAGACTTTTAGTGTACAATTTGGTTTTTTTCTGGTTTTAAGATGGCAATGCCCCCCCTCCAAAAAGGAATATTTCCAGGAGGCAAGGGGAGGGACTTCTACTGGAAAAGTTGGGGGTCAAGGGTCATGAGTGGAACATCTGGTCCCAAGATGGCAACGGGGTGTGGGGGGCAGCAACTTTCAAGGGGAAGGGCTACTCATGTGGCCCTTGAAAGCTCACCAAACTTCGTTAAGCAGCCCTCCACCCAAAATAATTGCCCGCCCCTGTGCATCATGCCCCCCCTGGAGGGAGGTCTGCTGCATGTTCCCCCTGCCCCTACTCCCTTCCCTTCCCCCCCACCCATTCCTAGCCAGCTCCTGGGACCTAGCATGTGGGCAGTCCCCAGGGCGCACACATGTGCATACACGCAGGTGCACACCCCCCCAGACACACACATAATAAACAAGAGTAAGGCTTTATTTTGAGCTGTTATGCAGTCACCTCTATATACACTACTCAAAAAATTCAGAACAAAAATATTTTTTGAAATAAAATTAAAATATAGTAGATATTTGATTTTCAGTATAGGATTTTTTTATCTATAATTTGTTAAAATGCTATCTTATGAAATATTTTGTGTGTGCAACCCTTGACAACTCACCAAAACTTGGTAAGTGACCCGCCACCCAAAATAATTGCCCACCCCTGAATTAGGCTGAATGTCCCCCTATTCAGTAACATTCATTACATACAATATTAGTTCTGTTCCCAGAGAGGGGATAGCAAAGTTGAAATCTCAATTTCTTCATTTAGATTCTTCAGTAGTATGCCACCTATATTCGAAGCATGGCTGTTAGAGGTGCATATCTACCCTGCCTTCTGCCTTTCAAAGCCTAACTAAATAAGATATATATAGTACAGGCTTTCATGAACCCACATTCACTTCATCAAATTCTGTGAAAGTCGAATGAGAAGTAGAGTATGAAGTGATTAGAATACAATAGGCAGGAAAGCAGGGGGAGGAGGGATGCTAGGAGAGGCTTACAAGCAAAGAACCTATAGGAACAAAGGGGTCAGGAAAGTGAATCTAGGTAATGCGATAAGAATCTATAGTCCCTGCTTAAACCATACTTCGCACAGTCCAGCCTGTGGATGATTTCTTGTTCTGCAATTTCTTGTTCAAACTGCTTTTTTTTTTCTTTTTTTGTTTTGTTTTGCCTGAGAACAGCAATCCTGTGGTCCAGGGAAGTTGAAGTGTTCTGCCACTGGCTCTTGTGTCTTCCTGCGCCTGATGTCAGATCAGTGTTAAAAGTGAAACAGGTTGTTTTGCTTTTTGCAAGTTTAAAGGGTTCCCCCGTCCTTGGCAAACTGTTCACATATTAGAAAAGCCTACTAAACTGTCTATCATACAGACAAGTTGGTCTTCAGGCTGCTACAATTAGGTCATTTTTAGATGCAAGTTATAATATACACTTGCTAAATTAAAGTTTCCATATTCAACTCTAAGAATGACTTATGATCTTAAAGCGCTTGAAGAATGCTTTATGAACATCATTGAGTAAGTGGGCTCTCTCTGTTTTAATAATTAAGTGAATTTAGAGCTTGTCAAATTGTCAGTTCTGAAGAACTAACTCTTGTAATAATAGAGTAGTGTTAAGTTCAGCAG